CTTACGTACTGATGGGAACCCACTCTCCCTTGCTTACGTACTGATGGGAACCCACTCTCCCTTGCCTACGTACTGATGGGTACCCACTCTCCCTTGCCTACGTACTGATGGGTACCCACTCTCCCTTACTTACGTACTGATGGGTACCCACTCTCCCGTGCTTACGTACAGATGGGTACCCACTCTCCCTTACTTACGTACTGATGGGAACCCACTCTCCCTTACTTACGTACAGATGGGTACCCACTCTCCCTTACTTACGTACTGATGAGAACCCACTCTCCCTTGCTTACGTACTGATGGGAACCCACTCTCCCTTACTTACGTACAGATGGGTACCGACTCTCCCTTGCTTACGTACTGATGGGTACCCACTCTCCCTTACTTACGTACAGATGGGTACCGACTCTCCCTTGCTTACGTACTGATGGGTACCCACTCTCCCTTACTTACGTACAGATGGGTACCGACTCTCCCTTACTTACGTACTGATGAGAACCCACTCTCCCTTGCTTACGTACTGATGGGTACCCACTCTCCCTTACTTACGTACAGATGGGTACCGACTCTCCCTTGCTTACGTACAGATGGGTACCCACTCTCCCTTGCTTACGTACTGATGGGTACCCACTCTCCCTTGCTTACGTACTGATGGGAACCCACTCTCCCTTACTTACGTACAGATGGGTACCGACTCTCCCTTACTTACGTACTGATGGGTACCCACTCTCCCTTACTTACGTACTGATGGGTACCCACTCTCCCTTACTTACGTACTGATGGGTACCCACTCTCCCTTACTTACGTACTGATGGGTACCCAGTCTCTCTTGCGTACGTACTGATGGGTACCCACTCGCCCTTGCGTACATACAATAAGCTTCCAAACTTCACACCCCCACCCATATTTTTCAGCATGTTCTTTATAAACGTACAAGACAATCGTTAGATAAAATCAAGTCACCGTAAATCATTGTCTCCTCACTTGTAACGCACGCCACAACAGGGAGGCCACTTGAAGATTATATCAGGATTTATAGTCTCTGGGACAGAGGCGTAGGAAAAGGTGGAGGGGTTGGTTAGCCCTGGATGGAACTTTCGTCATTATATAGAGGGGCGTCAGGACAAAATGCAGAGTTTTCTTTTTCCTGTTTGGGGAGGGGCGGGTAAAAAAAATATTGTTCCTCCCGGGGCGGCACTAACCTTATAGATATGCCACTGTTTTTTATTATTTTTTTTTTTTTTTAATTTATGAAATTTAAGATTTAAGGTTTAAAATGCGGATGGTATGTGGGGGAGGGGGGGTGCTTGTTGACCACCTTTCTTGTGGAGTACGTCATTTATGGATGTCCCCTTAGATTAAAATATTTACTCACCATTAGCAGTAAGAACTGAAAAGGGTTGTGGCAAAAAAAAAAAAAAAGGCTTATTTCAGACAAGATGTTTTATTCATAGTTTGGTGATGAAATAATACAAGTAAGAAAATGGTTATATTTGTATAAAGTAGATTTTAGATAATATCGATCGCAGACCCACATGTCATTATACGCACTGACATCTGCAAGCAATCAACAGTCGTACATTTTTTGAAAAGATGTAACCATTACTAATGAAAACAAATACTCAATCCGCACTTTACAGATACACACAGGCACGTTGACATATACACACACAGAGAGAGAGGGAGGGAGAGAGAGGGGGAGAGAAGATATACATATATATATATATATATATATATATACAAAGAGAGAGAGAGAGAGGGAGGGAGGAGGGAGGGATGGAGAGAGAGAAAAGACAGGAAGAAAAAAGACAGGGAGAGAGAAGTCAGGGAGAGTAAGAGAGAGACTGGGAAATGATACATGAAAGTTAACATATTGTATTTAAAAAGTCTCCAAATTTGACTGCATGCCGACCCAAGAACCAGATTAATGTCGTCACATACAATATTGACCTGCCCCATCCCACCTCTCTCTACCCTCTCTCTCTCTCTCTCTCTCTCTCTTTTTCTTTCTCTCTCTCTCTCTCTCTCTCTTTATCTATCGCTGCTGTTATCTACGACATTAAGATAGAAAAAAAGGGAACTCATATATAGAACAGCGTTTCTCATGTTGTGGTCCGCTAGCCTAACGTTGCCGGTCTTTGAAATTAAACATGATATAAGTATATGTATATATAGCAATACTCTTTATGATCTGTTTTATATGGATAACTCAGGAAACAAAAAGCCCCAATTATTTATTTTTTATGCCTTAAGCTGGCTTTTAAAAGTGGACACCCAAGAACTTCAAAATGGATGTCATCTTTTTTATCAAGGTTTATTCATGGGGACCTGGTTCTTAATACAGCAAGCAAACTAAAAACAGGGAAATCAAGTCCATTTTGTTTACCATTTAAAGAGAGAATAATGTCGAATCCAACATAATAATCATACTAATGGAAAGGGTTAGAATCACTTGACTTTTGGATATCATTGAAACTTAGCTACTTAGTTTTTAAAAAAAAACTTATGTAATTTTGATATTTTTGTTGGGTGCGCATCTGTTCATAAAGAAAATAAAATCCCGTATGTTCAAATGCTGTGCAAAAAAAAATAAAAATAAAAAAACAAACAAACGCTAAAACAAAACAACAACAACAAAGAACGAAAAAACACACTCTTATTTAGAATGACAATAGGTGCCAGTCTCGTTTAGTCATGCATGGTTCTCTTGAGCCCCCTTTGCAATCTAACCCCGAGGTTCCCGCTGAATGTTTAAGTGTTAGGAAACAATATTTTAGATATTGTGGTGATATCCATTTCTATGGTATCGAATTTGATGTTTCTAAGATGACGGAAAACGCGTTTTTTCTTTCTTTTTAATTTTTTTTTTTTTTAAAACAAGCCGCTCCCTTAGTAAGGACACCAGGGTTTTAAAAAACAAACAAAAAAACTTTAGATTTTTCTAAGGATCTTGGCAGTATCAGATTCAATGTTTTGAGGATGACTGGAAGTGGTCCATTAATTCAGGTCTTATTTTGTGTGTGTGTGTGGATTGATCCCGATATATATTGCTACACAAGATTTGGTAAGCCCAAGATTTTATAGTATGCATTGAAGTGGTATCATCTACAAATATATTTATTAACAAAGAAATAAAGCATCAATTTAATGTTTTCATTATTTAAAAATTAAAAGGCGATGTAATTTTTTAATATATACCATCACCATAAAAACAAATAACATCTCTGAAGAGACTGAAGAGTGCTTCTTTGAAGAGACCATAGAAGCCGCTAAAAGTTGATTCTTATTTATATTGGAATTTATATATTATTTATCTAATTTATGGATAAATCATTTTAATTTAAAGGTTACTTAAAAAGCCAAATATTTAATCATTATTATAAAAATGACCAATTTCATTGTTACTCCGATGTCTATAATTTCTAATAACTGTGTTCCTTAAAATAAAACCTAATATCGATAATCCAGGATTTGTCAGAAAGAAGGCGCTGTTCACTGTTAAGTATGGTCTGAGGCTCCCTAATACCATTCATAGTACTCCAAGTACTCATTGTCATTTTAATATCACAACTTAAACTTGTATTTAGTTCTAGCTGCTAAGTAGGCTATCATTAGAATTAGGCTTAGGACCAGGCTAGACTAAAATTCTAAAATAAATTACGAATTAAAATTGGCCTTGATCATTCACTTATTACTCAAAGGAAGACCTATACCAATGAAAATACATAATTTTTTACTATGTGTAATGTAACAATGTAGGTGCCAGGTAATAAAATATTAATTCCAAAAGATTATTAAAAATATTATTACAGTTGTATAGGCATAGGGCTAATTATTTTTTATTTTTAGTTATGAATTTTCAAAAACTGAGTGTGTTAGTAAATTTTTACTATGGACTGCAACTCCACATTTTGAAACCTGATTCCAATGATTGTGTCACTCTCATCAACTCTTGTTTAAAGGATAAATTATAGGCTAATACTTAACTTGTATTTTCTGTTTTTTAAAAGTTCTAATTGTAACATTAACTTGAACTGCCTTCTAAGTTCATTCTAAAAACAGAAGTTTTTCAGATATTTTGATGTAAATTGTGGTAATACCTCCCAGAGTGCAACTGACGGGACTTAATATAGGAGTAGAATAAGTCACTGCCAAGCAAGGACGTCGTACGAGGCGACTTATTGTATCATGCTTTGCATTGGGCTAGCAGCCCATTCAATCATTCTTTGAACTCAAGAAACCCAACAACTGCTACGAAAACATCCACAACCAATAAACGTTTGCCACCCCCATTGGGGGCGGGTCCTGCCTTATAAAGGGACCATGACGCAGGTTAGCCAAACCCATAAGGGAACCCTCTTGCCGAATTCCTGTCACATATTTCGGCCAGCATTGTTTGGCGGTTTATAGTTGAGCTAGTCATATAATATAATACTGAAGCCTAAAATTGAAGTTGTCAATAATCCACCACACCTGTCAATAAAACTTCATGATGACCATAGCTTCCAAACTTACCATATATATTATATATTTGTTATAAATCAGCAATTTTAAAAAATATTTTGCAGAGGAATAAGTGGGATGGTAGGCTTATAAGTGTATCACTTCAATATTTTTACCCATTTTAAAAACCAATTAAAGATACAAGACATGAAAAACTCTCTTAAGATGATCTTTTTTTTATTCTTTATAAATTTACTAAGATGATTTTGCATTAAATATTAGAACCAAACAATACACAAAATTATGTTTAATAAAAAATGAATAGAACTACATTTTGAATACTGATAAACATGAGTCTGTACTTGTAATCTTTATATACAACTCACCAGGAACTAAATTATCTTTATGGAATGAAAATTCCATAGTGTTTTTATAACACTGTTTATAGGCCAGTTGAGGTTAATACCTAACTCATGGGGGTAGCTGTCAGTTGAGTCTTGGTCTCCTTTGAACATTTTCAGAAAGTAGTTTAACATTGTCATTAAGTTAACTTTTATTTTAATTTTTTTTACCCCCTGCAGATGTCTGAGTGAATGTACAGATGAAATAGAAGTTCACTTTCCAGCAGGTGTATTATTTCTGCTAGATGATGACACCACAAGGGGGCATGATAATGAATGTGGCGCCACCTCCTCTTTCTTCAGGGGGAACAATATCTCTTGCCTTACTAATTGAATATGCATTGCAGCGAACCCATCATGAACTCATTGTATTATCTGAGCTGTGAGTAGTGCCTGTTTTTTAAAAAAAAACTATCAAGTGGCATATTAGAAACCCCCAATATTTAAATTCTTTTGACTTTACCTTATTTCTTAAGAAAATCAGTTCCACTGTAGACACCTTTCAGTAGAAAAGATTCTAGCTCCAGTCAAGATGACTTAGTGGATGATACAATTTAGTTCCATAATCGGCAAATGTCTATGGGTGGTTGTTTGAATAATTGAATTTCTCTCTTGTGCAAATGTACCAGATGGTCTGCAATTAATCTCCTAAATTTGAAAGCAGGAAATCTATAGAGCTGGCATAACTATATTGGAATGTGTATTGAGATTTTGTATATTCAAATCTTTAATGTGATCAGTTACCGATCTAGACAGCTAAACATTAGCTAAATTCTTTGTCATTTATTCTATAATTCATTTATTCTATCTGTGAATTTCTTCAGTATTTACTTATCAGACATGAAACACTTAGTTTTATGACCATTATTTCAAGCTGTCTAAATTTTCAGGTCCATTGTCCACTGTGAGTAATAATGATACTTTCAGAGTAAATAACATGTGGAATGATATGTTTAGGCGTGGCAAGAAAAGACAGGACAATTAAAATAATGTTTTAGCTAGACGCTTTCTTCAGCAGACAATACAAAACAAAAACAACAGATACTATCAATTAAAAATAGAAATAACACATAATGTTTTAGAAAAGTTTAATAATGTAAATGTAGCTCAAAGCAGTCCCTTAAAGAGGTTATGTTAACTTTGTAACACATGATTATTCCGGGTGGTAATTGTTCCATGCCTGTATCATTGATTTAAAATTTAGTTATTACTTTGTACCTTAGTTTCTCTTATTAATCATTATTGTTTCTTATTAATCATTATTTTTTGTGTGGGGCAATCATCCCGGGTGCCTAATGAGGGGGGGGTTGCCAAAACTGTTTTTAGATATACCTTTTTAGTGAATTAAATTACAATACCATGTACTTCACAAAGACAAATGATGCCAGAATTGTCTTTTTACTGATCTGCCCTTGTCTATATAGTGATGGGCTCTATTTTCAGGCTTGGCCTCAGGTGCTGCTTTTCCTTGGCACGGCCCTGATCTAAAGTATTGATAATAGCTAATTTCAATGTTTTTTAAATGAAAAATAATTTAGGTGTTAAAAAAATTACATTTAGGAGAAGCCCAGGATTAGGTAATAATAAAGTTGAAGCATTGATATGTTGGTTTATACATTCACCTAATGAGAATTTTAGTTTGTTTAAATTCAATTTTGTAAATAAAAAAAAAGTAATGTGAAATCAAGATTACACTTGTATGTTACAGCTGCTTACAAAAATGACAGTTACTCATTTTATCTTGAACAAGAGGAATACCTATAATTTTTTTTTTAAATTTCAGATTGCCAAGGAAATCTGACATGGAAAGGTAACTTATGAGTAACATTAAATATATCATAATATGAATATCATTTAAAGTAATGTGCGTGGGGCATGTATTGAGGTTTGTATGGTGTTGAGCATGAGAGTTCACCAATAAATGTGGCTCACTGGATATTGTGTTTATTATGTGCAGAATGTTTTTAGAGAGCACTTAGTTAGTGAACTCTCTTCCTGCGTTATACTTGGTGACATATTTTTATGACTGTTATGAAGTATTTGTCTAGTCCGTTTTGTGTTGATTAGTAGGCAGTCATTGAAATAACTTTGTAGGAGATGATTGCGTATTATTCTTCCTGATAGCGAGCTGTGCTTTACATGTGTGTTGATAAATTGTACAGTCTGTGAAGATATATAATATATTAAAGTTGCATTAATTATGGAAAAGGACTTGTGTTAATTGAGTGCTATTATGATGTATGAACAAAGTGTAAAAGAACCTGATGAAGTAAACCAATCAAGTATACAAGGATTTGACATGGATGTTTGGGGGGGGGGGGCATTCAAAGAGATCATTGTCGTTATTATTTTTGTTATTTCGTTTCAGTATTTCATAAAATTGTACTTCTTTTGTTTATTTTTACAGAAAAATTGAAATTTTCCAGTTCGCAAGCCGTACAAGACAACTTTTTGTAAGGCTATTGGCACTGGTTAAGTGGGCTAACAGTGCATCCAAGGTTGACAAGTGCATGGTAAGTCAAGTCTTATTTTTTAAATTTTGTTTGTTGTCAAAAACAACAATAACATTATTCTCATTAAAGAAATTGTTTTTTTCTGAAAGTGCCTCATTTCTCCTCTGATTCATTGAGCAGCAGAATGTACTTTATCATTCTAATTCAGCTAAAATAAAAATTTCATTACCGTGAAGAAAGTAATAAAATCTTTATGAATAACCAATAGCTAATAATTTCACTGCAGGTTCTGTTTTTCACTATCTGTTTCTCTGTTAATATTTTTAACAACTATACATATACATATTGCTTACTAAGATCCACTACTTATTATTAAACTCTTCGTGGCTTACAGGACATATGTAATTTCTTGGAGCAGCAGTCTATGTATTTTGTGGAGACGGCTGACGGCTTACATAAAATGGCTAAAGAAACTCTGGCCTCTGCGAGGTAACTGATTCAAGCTGTTCAAGATATTTGAAACCTTTCAATTGAATAATTTATTGATTTGAGAAACTTAACCGTAGTTATGGTTCTATTAAAAACTCAAAAACTCGTGATTTCTCATATGAGGCCATTAAGCAATTTTGAACAGGATTGTATTGAATATTTGTGTTAGAGGAAAATATATTATTATGTAAGGTTGCACTGTTTAATTTGAAGAAATAGGTTATTGCATTCGCTACTTTAATAACAAATCAGCTGTAAATTTAAATGTATCTGTCTATCTAAAAAGTTGCGTTTTGAGCATATAAACGAACTCATTTTCTGATAAGATCCTGTCATTAAAAAAAATAGCAACAAATATAAACAATCTAATAATCCTATTCTTCGGTATATAAATAAAAATTTTCATAATTTTAGTGCATTTACATCTACGTTACAAGAACTTACCATCACCCACCCCCAAGTGTTTATAGTGTCATTCAAAGCTACTGCTCCATTTGGTTTCAGATACATTTCTTCACTAACAAAATAAGTTGACAGTTCAGTTGATAGTTGATCCATAACAAATATGGTATTGGTTCTCACCTAATGAGCAGGGTGCAAAAACTTGTTATGTTACGCATTGAACTGTTTTATGATACCAAAGATTGCTTTGTAAAAAAAAATAATAAATTTTGAATTAAAAATGCATTAGCTAAATTTTGAATTACAGTAGAATGTTGGTTTTATCATTTTAGTAATCAAATTAATGATATGTGAAAGTCAATAATCAGCTGATCTACCTATTATCTGGAAAATGCTTTATGACTGCAGTTATGATATTTATTAGCTATTGACATAAAATATGATAGAAGCAACATAATTCTGAATAATCAAACGTTCAGTTGCTCTTCTGTTCATGCCATCCCCCATGTACACAAAAACATGATTCTATGATGGTGTAAGCCTTATCATGAGTTTCCTGCCTGGTCATTTGTTTTTCTTTGCTAAAGATCCTCTGATAGCCTTGCTTTGCTCTTCCATTCATATTTGTTGTTCATAGTGTAGACATGATGCCGGACTTAAAATCATCTCCAGTATTTGTATAAAATGCTTGTGTGATTTTGAAGTTAAATATTTGAGTATTATCTTCCGCAGGTTGCCCAGTTTCTCCTTACCTTGTGCCATTGATGTTCTGACCACAGGGACTTACCCTAGGCTGCCAACTTGTATCAGAGTAAGTTATTATTCTCTCACAGGCATTCGTACAGTGCTACTTTTAATATGCACCTGCACTGTCCCATTAAGCACTGTTTCCCAAAGTGGTTTCCGCACACCAGTGCTGGTCTGCGAGCCTTACGTTGCCAGTCAGAACAAAATTAAAAGAAAAATAATTAATCCATCTTACACCAGTCCCTGGTGCAATTGGAAACCTGTCCACCGATTCAACAAACTTGGAATTGTGGGAAGCACTCGCTGCTACGGGGGATATCCCCAACTATAAAATGATATTTATGTCATTAACATGACCTTATAATTTCAGGAACGTATCATACCCCCAGACCCCATTACACCCCAAGAGAAAATGCAGACTTTGCAGCGTCTCAATGAAGTGATTCAATACAGACTTGTGTCCAATGAACTCCCAAAGCAAATGAGAAGACTTAAAATAGGTAAAGTTATTGAGAATGATAATGGCCTGTACTCAATGAATATTAATAACTTCATAATTGACATCTGCTATTTTATACTTCGATTATTTTGTATTACTGTTTGAGTAGACTTGACCACCTCTAAACTTGAACTGATCTGATTCTTTATTACTGTTTGAGTAGCTTGACCACCACTAAACTTGATCTGATCTGATTCTTTATTACTGTTTGAGTAGACTTGACCACCACTAAACTTGAACTGAACTGATTCTTTATTACTGTTTGAGTAGACTTGACCACCACTAAACTTGAACTGAACTGATTCTTTATTACTGTTTGAGTAGACTTGACCACCACTAAACTTGATCTGATCTGATTCTTTATTACTGTTTGAGTAGACTTGACCACCACTAAACTTGATCTGATTCTTTCTTTATTGTAATGATTCTGCAGACCAAGGTCGAGTCAAGTTCTTTGTAGAACAAGAGTTTGAGGTAATTCCCCTTAATTAATTCAGCAATGTTTTTGCTGGGTCACTCCTGGCACAGAAGTACACCAGCTGCCTCATGGTATCTTAGTTCCTCTATTCAATCTAGCAATACCTTGTCTTAAGCAAGGTTACTTAATTAACCTTTCTGTGGATATGAAGTTATAACATTACAAATGCTTTCAGACAAAAGCTTTCTGTCATCCAAAGTAACTTGAAATAAATTTTTACTGAATCAGATTAAGTGTTGCCCTGATCTAAAAATAAGCCTTTTTAATTTGACGCTATTTTGGTTCACTGGTCTCTTTATTTGTTAACACCTTATTAAAGTCTTGTTTTTTTTTTAGTCAGCTAAATTTGCTCATAATTTTTGCTTCAATAAATTTTTAACATGTAATTAAATTTTTTAAAAATCACCCATAGACTTGTTAAATTTTTGAAAATGTATTACTTCCTGTCACTCCTATGAACGTGAATTGATTTTGAGCTTCTATAATTTTTTGCAGTAGGTCTTTTAATTAATTATTTTAACACGAAATGCCTTATTTATGTCATTGCAATTTCTTGTGTTTACCAACAGGTGACTCTCACATTAATGGGGGATAGTCCTACTATTCCTTGGCGTCTGCTGGATGTCAACTTTCTTGTTGAGGATCATGAAACAGGGCGTGAGTGCCTATAAATTCATCAAAGAGTAATTCTTATCACAAAGAAAATAATTTGACAGCAATAGACCCTGTCATCATTTATTTTAGAGCACCAGTCTGAGCATCTGAGGTTCAAATTTGGCTAATCCAGTTTCAATTCAGAGAAATGTTTATTTTGAGATGTTCAACATTTTTCTCAAAACATAGACATTAAATTAACCAACATACCCCACCCCCCAACCGCACCCATATCCTTTTTGGTGAGTTAAGATTTCAATGTGTCCTCAGTGGTTGAAGTAATGGTTAATCCTACACATGGTTAAACCAGGGTCACCTCTATATATTTTGTGCCACTCCACAAGCAGCAAATAGTTATTGGGTAGAATGTAAAAGAGAGTTGAAATTAATTGAAGAACTTGCTAGTTATTGAAAATGTTTGTTATGTTTGTTACAGCAATGTGTACCTATCTTTGTGTTTATAAGAAATTGAGTTTTAAAAATTGATTCAGAGTAATGCCTTTTGATTTTAATTTAGTTAGATTTAGTGTAACTATCCCTCATGCCCTAGTTGCACAGTTTCTGTTGATCTGATTCACTTGCTAACTAATTTAAATCAAAATATAACTAATTTAGAAAATGTGATTCTAGATTTTTAAAAAATCATTTTTGTTTAATAACGTACAATTTTTGGACAAAAAAATTGTTTGAATTAGATACTATTTGCATATATGCAACTATTTGCCTGAACAATTTTCAAATAATGGATATCCTGTCATGGCAAAACGGTGATTTTGATTTCTGATATTGCTTTAGGAAATAATAAATAATTAATTTTTTGTTGGAGATGCAGATAGGTTATTTTAAATTATACATTACAATAAAATTAAAATATAGAATATTTTAATTATACATTAGAATATAATTAAAATATAGAATGCAGATTAAACTTTCAACTTTTTTTTATCTTCTTTCAGATGGAAAATCATTGGTACATTCAATGCAGGTATGGACATTTCTAACTTTTAATATTTGTAAATCATAATTTATATTTGTCCAGACTTAGATTTTCATGTAAAGTTTCCAAACAAATTTGTGGTTTGTCAGTTTTTCTTTCAGTTGTTAACAGAGTTTTTTTCTTCCTTGCAGGTCCATTACATACATGAGCTTGTCCAGTCCAGGCTGTTGCATGTAGACCACCCTTTGCATGATCTCTACAAAGTATTACGTATCCTTCATTGTCATTTAATCTCATGTTATAAACTGTTCAGTGTCAGCCTGTTATAGTAATGGAAAAAGCCTAGACCATCAGTTAGATATAATTTTTCTGAAAATTATGAATGTGAACATTTTAGTTTGTTTTTCCATTTCAAATGACATGACGCTTAAATTTCAGCATTTTGTTTTTACAGTAGCTTATAAAGGTCAACAAAAATGTGTGACATAGCAGTCAACTTCACTAACTAGTGAAATGATTATCAAAACTACACAATAAATGGTTGTATAGCAAAACTATCAAGATTTTTTTGAGATGGTGTTGTTGCATTCTGTATCAAAATCAATTTAAGTATCAAAAAAATATTCTTAACACTTGCCCAGACTCATTTTGTCAGTCACTGCAGCTTGAAGTCCTTCATTCTCAAGTAAGTTTTATTTTCAAAGTTTGTTCTGTTTCCCCCAATACCAAAGAAGTACAATGTATATACATGGACAAAACATGTCAGACAATTATTTCTTCCTCTGTCATCTGTCTGTCACAATGTGACAATGGTGTACACTTCGCAGGACAAAATATCAAGGCCTGAGATTTTTCTTTAGGTGTTGAGCCGGTTCCCTAGCCAGCCAATCACCTCTCTCCATGCATCCGGATAACCAAAGGGTTATCATCATGTGGGAATGATACAACTAAGCACAAGGAACGTCGCAGGAGTTATCATTAAGTTTATGTCATTCTGCGTAAGGGACTACATCTCCAGGTTTGAATTCAGAGTTTTCTTTATCTGAGATGAGTTGCCACCCAAAGTAAAGGGGTGCTTGGGGATGGTTTTGGTTGTCTAGGCTTTTGCTGGCGATTGAAGTCCAGTGCACAAGATTGGGATTGACTCAGTTTAGACAACTTGGCCACCCTGTGTATATTTCTCATTGTTACGACTTGAATGCCGACCTCCCGTATTTCTCTTATAGTTATTCATTCTATTGAGGAGGTGAACCTTGAGTGACAGACTTCATTTCAACCTCTGAGCTTGGTGTGGGATTACATGTCTATGCCATGATAGCTGTAGTCCTACAACTTAACATACAATGGCTGGAATAAGTCTGGAAATTAAAAACACATTATTTAGTTGGTTATTTTGATGTTTGTATGTAGACTAATCATTTTTTGTTAATATTTCACCAAAGCTTCATATTGGACCATAAAAAAACAATATTTTGTTATGTTTATTAACATAAAACAGGCCCAGAGGCTGATGAATGACAGGCTGAGGGACAGCATTTGTATTGTTGAGTACTCACTCAGCAAGTCTTTGTCAATATCATATTGGAGGTTTGTACTGTACAACTTTAATGTAAAATTAAAGTCAAAGCATGAGAACTTTCAGAGATCGTGATTGTTTAAAAAAAATTATTGATTGTTTGTAGTCTTTAAATACTAATTAGATATTAGGTATGTAGTTAATTTAATTTTTTTTTTTTTTATGATTAAACTGTGATCTTTGAAGCTCTGAGGTAAAATGGCAGTTTTCCTTATTAATTGTATACACCATAAAAATAGCATAAGTAATAATAATTAGCTGTAAACACTTATTTTTGTATGCTTCAAGGGCTCATTGGTCTATAAAAAAAATTAATCTCTGGTGTTAAGTGTGAGCCTGAAAATTTTCTTTTCAATGTTTTCAATGTTAGTAAGTTAATGTTGAAGTTGATTTTTGATTTGGTTTGTTTGCCATTTATTCTAGAGATCAGCAGAAAAAGAGGCAGAACATGGAACATTTTCCAAGTTAGTTCATTAGTTCATATTTAAGCATTTACATTAAGGATGTAAAACCAGATTTCAGATTTTTTACTGATAACCAGTTTTCCTACAAAAATAACGGTATTAGTTTCCTTAATTTTAATACCAAAGGAGTGTTGAATTCATCTTTTGTTCAATGAGATAAACTCTTTAAAAGCATAATCGTTCTTCATCAGTTATAGATGAAAATATATTCGTATAATTATCTTAGGAATAATGAAATCATTTAATCAGGACCGCTAATTCTCACTTCGAATTTTACAGTTGTGATTTTTAAAAGATATATCAAATTTAGCTCATAATTGTTTTTTGTAAAACTGTTATATTTCTTTCTTTGCTACCAAACTATGTTAGTTTACAAACTGAGTGTTCACGTGAGTGAAGAAGATGAAGGCAAACCTCTACAGATCTCCCACACACCTCCCATGACACCTATTGAAAGTAGAAAAGTTGGACTTGCAATCAAGGTACATCATTTACTGGGCTATTTTGGTTTCACCTAGTCACAGTTACTAACCATTTACATAAACTTTTATTTTCTTTCTCAAAATGCTCTATGATTTGTTTAAATTTACATTTCTCTTAATTTCAAAATGGTGGGGATTCCAAATTTCATTTAACTGCTAAATTACACTTTGAAAAATACAGTTTTGGTCATTGACTTTATTCAAAACTGTCAAAATAATGATATTTATAAATAAATGTTTATTCCCTGAGGGTTGTTAGATGAAATTATTATTGATCATTTCTTCTGCTATTGTCCATGGGTCAGTGAGCAGAGTGAAAAGGAAAATCTGCGGGGAATGAAGGCTCTATAACAATATAAATTAATTTGAATAAAGATGTGACCAAACATTGGCAGCTAACATCGCCCTTTAACTGCTGTGGTCCGAATAAAAGATCAGTTTTGAATATGAAATGAACTATTAATTACCAGATTTAATTGTTGGTTTTTATACAAAATACTATTTTAGAGTGATCATCTGTCCATAGAGAAGTTACTCATGCAGACCATTGAAGTCAGAACTCACTCCAAGTTAAAGGTAGGGGCTAAGAGTTCCTGTACCACTATAGGTAGCTAATAGTTTCTGTACCACTATAGTAAGCTAATAGTGTCTGTACCACTGTAGTTAGCAAATACTTTCTGTACCACTATAGTTAGCTAATAGTTTCTGTACCACTATAGTTAGCCAATAGTTAAGTTTTTGTAGCTACATATATATAATTTTTTTGCTCATGTATTTATCATTTCACTGTTTGTATGGTTAGTTAAATGTTTTGACATTTTTAAAACAGGAACTGGCTAGAGAAATGCAGAGAGTTATTGATGGCAAATGTAAGTAAAACACTATCATTTACTCGCAAAACTCTTGTTTGCTAACTAACAGAAATACTTAAGATCAGGCCCAAAATTAAAACAGACAAAATTGTTTTCTTTATCATATAAAAGAATACTATGTTTAAAATGGGCTGCAATATTGATTGTTATATGTAATGGTTAAAAATATATGAGTGTTATATATAAGGCTTAAAAATATATGACCATCCTACCCACCAGGTGAAGTCAGAGATATGCCGGTTGCCCTTCATGTCAGTGTACTAAATCCTTGCATGTCATCAGAAGTCTTGAGAATCTCTATAGATGTCCAAACAGGATCTTACATGGCCTCCGTGCCATCATGTGGTACGTTTTTTCCCACTAAATTGTTCTCGGTTGCTTGTTTTAAAATGAAAGTCAGATTTTGGGAAGCTGGGGTCATAGTGTCTCGGCCAATGTTAAATATTTCTTCATAAAAAAAAAACCACCCTGTATCAGTCCCCCTCTTGCCTTTTAAGAATAGCAGAAATTGGTAGCCTAATGGAGCTAATAGTTACAGGAATGGCACTACTCAAGTGTAGTAAGAGAATTTCAAGTGCTCATTTAAATAGACAAATACAGTGAATTAACATGGGTTTCTGTCTGCTTTTTGGACAACAATCCCACGCAACACAAAATCAGTAGATTGAAACAGAAGGGAAAGAGCATTTTAAAAATAATTTATTTTTAAAAAAAAAGTAAACTGTATAATAGTTATTGCAATAACGTATGAGATTAGTAAAAGACTTAGCTAATTTATTAGTGTACTAGGTAAAGTTAGTTTCAATATTGCCGGTAATGACTGAAGTTACTTTTTATCATGATAAAATTAAGTTAAGAGTTTTGGTGAATCTTTAAGTGAATAAAAAAAGATAAGAGTTTATTGTGTTCATATTTTAGAACGCTCAGCTGTCCAGGGCATAGAAGACAGTTTGAATGGAGAACACAGGGGAATGGAAAAGCTTCTCATGAAACTGAAGTAAGTCTTTTTTGGGTTTGAAACCGATGGATTGAATGAGCATGAACATTAATGTCTTGTGTCCTTGTCATTGTTTTAAAATTGATAAATCTAACCCGGCATCTCATCACACTGTGGTATTTTCTAAGCCCTATACACAGCTAACAGGCCTGAGACATCAGACCAATCAAGCTATCACTTCTTGTGTTTTTTTTTTTAAAAAAGTGGATTTCTATTGGGAAGTTGTTTTTTTTTTTAAATGAAATATTTTTTAAATATTTATTTTTAAGGAATTATGAAATACTAACTGGGGAAACCCAACCATGCTGCTCATGTAAAAAATTTATGGGAAGGGGTGCAAAGTTCTCTAATAATAATTCCAGATGACCCTCCATAAATACACCAATGCTTAGTTGTAGTGTCTCTATATAGAGTGGGTAGAGACAAGTACTGGTGCTGTTTTCAATGAGCATAGCAATAAGCGTACAAAATAAGCAAGTGTAGGAAATCAATTACCATGATTACCGTGTATATCCCATGACTGTTCAAACCCTTTCTATGAGTGTATGAAGTCAGTACCATAAGTCAATACCAGTCAGAGCTCACAGCAACCTAAAAACCCTAAGTCAGTACGAAGTGGCTATTCGGACCTGAGAAGTGAGAGGTTGGGATTAAAATTGTAAAAAATATATTAGTGTTAGGTTCTAAGACGAAATTTTGCTTCTAATGAAAGATAATTGATTGGACTATATGAATGTAAACTTACTTCTTCAGTTTAACTAAAATAAACTACCACCAATGACATCCAAATAGCATTGAGTCTAAAGGAACCCGGGTCCGAATCGGGGCGCTGCGTGTCAGGGTCCATTTTGACTAAATGCTATTCGGATGTCATTTGTTGTAGTTTATTTTAATTAAACTGAAGAAGCAAGTTTACAAAAAATATAGTCCATTCAATTATCTTTCATTTGATACCTTATTTTGTCTTACAAACCCTACGATAATTTTTTAATATTTTTTAATAAACCCAAAATCTCACTTCTCGGACCTGGGTCCGAATAGCCGCAGCCAAGTCAGTATGCATATGAAATGTACAAGCTGCTTTTCATCTCTTAAGCCAGGCCTGCATAACATACGGCCCACCAGCACCCACTTTGCGGCCGCCGAAGTAACGAAATATTCTTTATTCTTATTATTTACTTAGTAGCTCTCCCGCACAAGTCTTGTCCTATTTTCTTTTGGCCCTAACAAGTTTTTCAATAAGTATTATAGCCCGCCTTACAGTTTGAGTTGTGCAGGCCTGTCTTAAGCTATTAAAAAAAATGTTGATTCCAAATTTCAAGGGAATTATTATTTGTCCGCTGTTAAAAATGTCATAGTTCTTACTTACCTTGCAGCGGATAAGATGCACTCTGGAATTCTTATTATAGATGGTAAAGTTATGGAAGAAAATTTCAGTGGCAAAGTTGTACAGTTGTATTAAAATTGTATTTTATGTTTCTCCAGAGTTCAGCTTGTTTTACAAAGATGTGAGAAATGTGTCCAACTAATGATGGCAAACAGTCGTCCAACTCTACCACTCATCAATACAGCCGATCATCCTCTCAGTAAACTGGCAAACACTCGGCTCTATGTTAGGGTACCAAAACAACAAGGATATTATGTAGTAAGTAAACTAGCTTAGGCTGGTGCTCTATGTTAATGTACCTAAACAACAAGGATGTTATGTAGTAAGTAACCTAGCCAAGACTGCGGCTCTATGTTAATGTACCTAAACAACAGGGATGTTATGTAGTAAGTAACCTAGCCAAGACTGCAGCTATATGTTAATGTACCTAAACAACAAGGATGTTATGTAGTAAGTAACCTAGCCAAGACTGAGGCTCTATGTTAATGTACCTAAACAACAGGAATGTTATGTAGTAAGTAACCTAGCCAAGACTGAGGCTCTGTTTTTGGGTACTTAATCAGCAACAATATTTTAAGTGAATTTTTCATCAACCTTGGTAATACTTTTGAAAGCATGACTTATGTGGTGTAATTTTAAATGAATAAGCCCGGTGGTGTGTGGCTATGTCGCTTTTACATCAGATGCTGTATTGCTTGTAAAGTTCATTCTCGTTATATTGTTTTTCCAAAGGTTGTTGAAGTCCGAGAAAGTGAACATCGTAAAGTTGATGTTAACTATTACATGTTGGAGACCACACAGTGCACAGCCGATGGGGTGGAGGATGACATAGGGGAGGAAACTTTAGTCAAAGCCTTCATGAAGGCTGGACAACTCACTCCCATTGATACATACTCCATGGCTCATGGAGAATTCTGCAAAATTTTTGGTAAACAATATATAGGATTTAATTTTTGGGATATATTTGAAATTAGACTTCAACTACAGTTGTGCACATAATGCATTATTTAAATCTGTACGAATTTACTAGCGTGCTACCCCAGAGGTCACAAAATCTAATTTTATCACTATTTAAGTCCCTTATTATGACTAAGGCAGTCCACTGATTGGCTGGTTTTTTTTTTACGCTAGAGACATAATTTGATGTAGATGTTTTGTGTTTAACTTTTTTTAGTTGGATAATTTTGACTTTATTAAATTATGTATTTATCTATGTGCTGAAAATGTATGTGTACAATGTAATCAAAAAACATTTCCATTTGTTTGGATCAATAAAAGAATCTTATCTTATATTCTTAATATGAAGTTTTTCAATTCAATCTGGAACTCTGTTTTCTTTTTCAGATGGTATACCTTTGACAATGGATAGCCTTACAAGAAAACGAAAGGTGGGTCAATAGTTTATGATAAAAGAAAGAACTGTTTGTTTTGGGCTAAGCCTGTGATAAAATTCTTGGACACAAAATTTTCATAATTGTAGCCAGGGTCTGATAGCATTCTAGCTTTGAATTGAGGCTAGGTGTGTTCCTTATCTTGTGTGTACTCTCATGAGCTAATGCTGAACTCTCATGTGATGAATTTTTCTACAGATCTTCTTGGGGGAAGATGGCGATGAGCCTGATGCCAAAAAGATGAAGGGATCTCCGTATTTTGTCAGTGAACTGGCCTATCTTCTTGCCAGGTGTGAGGAGAAGATGCCTTTTGTTTTCTTGGGGGAAGAGGTCAGTGACAAGTCTGTGTGGTTGAGTTTCTCACGTCATATCTGTTCACTCGTTCATATTTTGTTACATCATTAAAACCAATCAGAAGTCCTATTCCAAGGACAGGGTAAACTTTAATCCAAGCTAGTGATCACCTGGTCCTGTCGTCCTACAATATTTCAAACATATATACACAGATTTATATTTATATATACCGCAGCATGCTGGAACACAATACAATTTTTCTTAGCTCAGACAGCAAGACACTAGGTCACAGATAAATAAAATCACATCAGAATGTTTCACCAATGACACTAACAGTAGCGAAGGCACTCCACGCACAATAAAACACAACCTTCAGTGCGCAACAATTACAAGTCAATGTCCATGCTGACAGTGAGGAGTTACAAAGTTTTAGGAGATTTGAATTTGCTTTCGTCTTTATAATTCATGACATCTATCGCTAAGACTCTCTTTCTAAGAATGAGCCAAGGTGATTTTACAAAAGGATCAACTGTTCTTGAGGGGTGCTGGCCCTTGTAAGACAATAATTTCATTTTCCTTATAAAGCTTTTGAATTTCAAATATGATCAGTTTTTTTGTGAAAGTAAACAAACTTTTCTATATGTTTATTCAGTTATCCAAACAAGGCATTAGTCATGATGGTGGCACATTGGATGGCACCGGTACATGTCTGTCTTTGGGAATATTGTAGTAAGTAGTCACAACTAATACTTTCACATTTGTTAAATCTAACCTTTTTATTATAGTAAAATTGAAAAGTAGACACCTGTAATTTGCATTTTTTAAACCATCTGCATAATTTCCTTTAACATTTGTTTTATAATTTAGTTGCTTCAAAACAACAATTGGTTTCCTTAATATAAATAAAACTAATATTATCTGCTTCCTAAAGTTTTCTCTTAAATATTTATACATGTCAATTTTTGCCGATCAGTTTCTTTTAACAAATATCAATAAAGGTCACTTTTCGCCAGTCAGTTTTTATGAAAAAATATTAATAAATGTCCCTTTTTGCTGATCAGTTTCCTTGAATAAATATCAATAAATGTCACTTTTTGCCAATCAGTTTTCCTGAAGTGTTGGGGCTTCCAGAGGAGGTCAATGATGGTCTAAGGAAACAGATTCTTCAGTGTAAATTTAGAATACAGAACAGGCAGTCAAGGTTGTGGATTCTTGAGGTATATATTTTAGGGCTTTTCATTATGTGTTGTAAACATATTTCATATATAGTATGATTAAAATTAGATATCTAACATTTATGTGCACCTCACATAACAATATTCAGTTAAGCTTTTTCAGAATCCCCAAAAATACAATGAATAAAACTGCAGGCCATCTTTGCTTTCCATCATCAACAAAGTCAAATCCACCATGTGAACATACAGTTTAAAAAAATCTCATAAGATATATTCAGTTTTTAAGATCAACTTTACATAAACTAGACTAGTTGTCTCACAGTTTCTCTTCTTTTTGTTTTTTTAGTTCATCTTCAATAGATCACCACTACCAAGTATTCATATTAAAGAATCAGGTGAGACGGTAGATTCCTCTCTGTCTGTCATGGTATTTACAATAATGTAATGAGTTTTTAAATGGCATTTGTTCTCTGTGATGTACTTAAGAGCTAAGGATTTATATGTTGATAAAACAACCAGCATTAGAGGAAAATGTTCAGAAAGTTTCAACTAAGCTCAATTATGTTTATTTTCTTTCAGGGGACAGCCAGAGGGTATGTGTTATGTTTGATATGAATGGGGACAACATACAGAAGACTGTCTCTGATCTCATGGACGTGTGGACCTCTGTTGCTTATCTTTACGGAGCTGTCCAGAGATTTGCCGAAAGTTATAATGGTAAGGTCAGGCTTAAAACTAGAAATAATAGGAGCCATTTGATACCTAAAAATTGATGATTAAATTTTGTATCAATTTTTAGAGTCACCGTTGAATAATTGAGTAAGAGAGTACAAAATTGCAACTTTGTGCTACCGCATGCTTACATGACCTGGCGCCATCTTATCTCAAAGCACTCATGACGCCTTATGTGGTCATCCGATAGTGGCAAAATATCGATACCGTGTGTTCGCCTTGAGACTTACGGAAAGCGCACTTTTGCATTTGCCGGCCCAACAATTTGGAACACCCTTCCAGTGGCTCTCAGAAACAGCCAGACACTCGAGTCCTTTAAAACCGATTTAAAAACACATCTATTTCGCAAAAACCTTCTGGGGTGATGCTGTCTACCATCTTTTTCAGTTAATGTATATTGGCCTGTGTTGCTTATGGTTGATACTGGATGAAATACTTTGACTTCATATGCTCGTATGTAGTTTTATATTGTTGCGTCTGTTTTTTAAATGTGGTAAATTTCAGATTGTTTTTATTTCTCTTTATAATGTGGTTGACTTTGTACCGCGCTTCAAGCTTTTGGGGATGAAGCGCGTTTTTCAAATAAACTTTATTACTATTATTTATTATTAAGGATTAAGGCAAACAGTGAGAAATAAGGACTTGGATTATTGGGGCACTGGCCTTTGTGTGCTAGAGTATTTGTAAGGCATGGTGAGGGAGGGGTCTCTCCATGCCTTTTTTTTCTTACAGGCTTTAAAATAAAAATTTAAAAAATACATTAAACTGGCAAAATGGTAAGAAAACAAAAGGTATGAATGAAGGTAAGTTGCCACTATTACAAACTATACATTGGATTACGTGTTACAACTTATTCTTTCACATAAATAGTATGTGTGACCTTTAATCGGAATTGTGCCCATGAATAATTAAGTGCATAAGTGATCTGTTGTATATGATTTCATCATTTATTTGATCTCTTTATCCTTTGATCACCAGATGCCCGTACAAATCTCTCAACTATGGTGGAGATACAGTCATACAACTATAAGAAACTAACACTGGCTTATGGCCCCAACATGTGTAGTTTGGTAAGCCATCAATTAAGTACATCTTCGCATTTATACTCATGAATGAGACTGGAATTTATTGCTAAGAGCTTGATCGCTGTCCAAACCACTTATAATTAGTTAATGTTCTTAAAAGTTCATTTCCAATATTACCGCCTTTTATCAGTCATTGTAAGTTGCTATTATTAAATTGAATATGCTCAGTAAAAAATGAATTTCTATATGTAAAATGTGTAAAAAGAAAACATTTCTGTAACTCACTATTTGTGTGATTTTGTGGATGTCAAAGTTATGTATAGACCATTAGCTTACTCGTCAACTGTGAAACATTTGGTTTACTCAGCTTGGTGTTGAATGGAAGCCTGTGTTGCGGAGGTTTGAGCTTACACTTGGCACACGCCTCCCGTCAGCCTCTGCCAATCCTCACATTCCTATGCTGCTTCAGTTAGCTGAAGAGTTCAACCTTCATTGTAGCTTGTCTCAGTTGAGTCAGGTAAGATGCGCAACAAAACACCAAAGTTTAGAGCAAGTTATTAGCTCCTCCCAACGGCCAGGGAATGGATCTTGGTGTCAAAACACTGGTAATACTTAACAAAAATATGGGCTGAAAGTGTATCCCTTTTTTTTTTTTTAGGCATACACCTCTGTACAACACAGAAACGTGTCTGTACTTGAACTCTTTATATGTTTAACTTGCCAGTTGAACTAGTAATATGACTGATTTAAATGATAGCAGGATCTGTATTCTAACTAGTAATCCATTTTGTGTGACCAATAGACACTCCATGACACCTGGACCCCTATGATGTCAATATCCAAACTGCCATCTGCTGCTGTCCTTGGGGCTGCTACGGTGAGTAGATTTGTAATAATCTCATAAAAGGGAATAATCGGGGTACTAAAAAAATGACATTAACATCATTAATTATGCGACTATAGTTTCTGACAGCTCCATGATTGTTTTATATGCTACCAGCTCCACGACTGTTTTATATGCTACCAGCTCCATGATTGTTTTATATGCTACCAGCTCCACAACTGTTTTATATGCTACCAGCTCCATGATTGTTTTATATGCTACCAGCTCCATGACTGTTTTATATGCTACCAACTCCATGACTGTTTTATATGCTACCAGCTCCATGACTGTTTTATATGCTACCAGCTCCATGACTGTTTTATATGCTACCAGCTCCATGACTGTTTTATATGCTACCAGCTCCATGACTGTTTTGTATGTCGATGAAATTTCCGTTTGATCAAATTGCCGTCGATCAATTTACCGTCGACGAAATTTCTTTCGATCAAATTTCCGGATACGAGTCTAAATATTTATTGTGCCACTATTTATTTACTTGACATGGCTTGAATTCAGTCTCTCATATTATCTTATTTTCAGAATACAAGACAACACATCCAGACTTTCACAATCATCCCACAGTCCAGCTCCCATGTCAGGATTGTATGTCGGGGCAGGTAAGAAAATGGGCTAATATTTAGGTTGTTCACATCCGACTATATTGCGCTACATAAAAGTTCAATCTCTCAATCTGTATTTAAGACTGGCTGATCTAACCTGTTGTCCTCTAAATTATTCGCATGAAAAAATTATCTGCCATTCATTATCTTGTACAACTCAAAGAAATATTTTGTCACATCCAGTAAAGTTTCATTATGGTTTCCAGAGTATATTTTTATGCCTTTGGGCAAGGAGTCCCTTCACAGATAGGACCCCACACGCAAACATAGATTCCATAACAAAAGTATGGATTTGATTATACACCATGCCGTCCAAGCACTCCAGTTTTTTTTTGTTTTGTTTTTTTGTGCTGGCATCCGTCCGTCACGATGTGACGATGGAAAGGGCTTCGGAGGACGAAATCCACATGGCCTGGGATTATTCTTCAAGGATTATAAGCTGGTTCCCAATAGCAAATCGCCTCTCTCCACGCCGCTGGAGAACCCAAGGGAACATCATGTGGATGATGCAGCTTGGCACCAGTGACGTCGCAGGAGTTGTCGGAATGATTCATTGTACCAATGTTATCCGCCTTTCGGGACTCCATCTCCGGGTTTGATTTCAGAGTTGCCTTCTTTTAGATGAGTTGCCTTCTTTTAGATGAGTTGCCATCCAAGGTTAACGAGTCCCATCCACCCGGGGTGCTGGTGATGTTTTTGCTTGACTGGGCTCTGGCTGGAATTGAACTCGAGACCACCAACTTGAGATTTGCTCAGTTTAGACCAATCGGCACCCCATGCACTCCAGTTACTCTCATGAGTAATGAGTCGATAGTTAGTATCCCCACCTGAATATGAATCACTCAACAAAGTAGCATTTGAAAGAGAGGTTTGAAATGTTTTTCTTTGTGAATAAATGCATCTGCATAGAAATGTTTTGCTTCTACAGTAACTGCCTCACACGCCGGCATCTCCTGGCTCTGCCAGGCTGCCAGCTGGGGTAAGTTCACTATTTACTTTATGTGGGTAACATGTCACCTAGTCGCTGCTTTGCTTCTTTGTTCTTGGCTCTTTTTTTTTTCACTTCTTATATCACCTTAACTTTAACTTCTTTTATATAAGCCCTGTGACTTTATTTTGTTTTATTATTAGTAGTGCTTCTTTCTTCAGCTCTTGAAGTTCGAGTTTTTTTCCAATTTTCTGAGTGGATTTTATAGGTAATAAAAATGTTATAGTTATTCAAAGATATAGATAGAAGCTGTTAAGTTTTCAATAGAGTTTGTCATTTTTCAGACTGGAAAATGTCAGACTTTACTATTTTTAGAACGTCGGACAAATATTTCTTAAAACTCAAACATGGCAGGTAATAGTGTGTTTCAGCATATGGTTTGAACGATCCTTGTATCTAGAGTCAATGTTACATGTGCAGTACGAGCAATGTCCCATTTCACAAAATAGCAGTAAAAAAAATTTGTAAAATATTTTGTAAAATGTAGTTGTAAACAAGCTTTTGATCTAGGTTAAGGTCCTCCTCGCCAACATAGTAGTACTGAACGGTGTTGACATTTTGTCCGACCTGAGTACCCGGGTGATTACAGCAGTTCTATCAATAGATTTCCACCATTAAATGACAAGCTCTATGGACAAAAAAAAGCCATCAATTTAGCACAGGAAAATTTATCATGGCTTTAAATTTTGGAAACATAAATGAACATTTTTCCAATGAAAATATTCTGATAAATGGCTTTTTAATGCTTTAAAAACAATTTGTCTTAATTTAAGCTATGGTTAGCCCTTATTCTGATAATTTAAATCATACCATATGTAGCACAACAATTAACTGTGCTTTCTGTTAAAAATTCCAGTAGATTAATGCCAATGATCCTGTAAATTTGTAACCACTGGTTCCAGCACTCAAGTTCTGGTGCTACCAGATTAGATCTATTGGCTTCAGTCAAGTATTGCTGCTGCTCCATGTGTTAATCTTCTTCATTTGTTACCCTCTAGGTGAATCCATCTCCATCCACTGCACTCATGGGCACGCCCTCGCCTGGGAGCCTCCTGACAGCCAACTCACCAGGGAACCCCCAGCTTCATGTGCCATCTCCTGGTTCTTTTGTACCAGCCCCCTCCCCTCAGTCCTCACTGGTTGGCATTCATATGCAGTCGCCAGCAACGTCCTTTATGAGCGGTCAGTAGTATTTTGGGAGCATGGGATGTTTCATGTTTAGCTTTAAATTGAAAAATGCCTAAAAACAATGTTTAGTCACAACTAATGCTTTCACATTTTTTAAATCTAACCTTTCTATTATAGTAAAATTGAAAAGTAGACACCTATAATTTGCATTTTTTAAACCATCTGCATAATTTTCTTTAAGATTTGTTTTATAATTTAGTTGCGTCAAAACAAAAATCGGTTTCCTTAATATAAATAAAACTAATATTATCGGCTTCCTAAAGTTTTCTCTTAAATATTTATACATGTCAATTTTTGCCGATCAGTTTCTTTTAAATAAATAAATATTTCATAGCATATTTTTTAATGAGTCTATGAGCCAAGTTTCAGCTCGATCGGATAACGCCAAGTGGGCCAATTAGCCATCTGAAGGTCTTTCCAGCCAGCCAGCCACCAACAAAAGTGAAGTTAATATAAACGATTTTAAAAACCTTTAAATGTGACTGAAGTATAATTTTGCTTCCTAATTTTTCTATCCTTTTTATGACTATATTTCAGGTATTGTTGATGGAGGCTCCCCATTCCCGGGGGCAAGTTTGGCCATGCCATCCCCAGGCGGCGTAAGGGGTGGGTGGGTGGGATCACCATCTGTACAAGACCCGTCACCCGTATCCCATCATACTGTCCACTCACCTGGTCACCCAGCTCTTCACTCACCACAGACACACAAAGATGGGGACCACAAGCTTGGGGGTGAGTGCAATCATTGTGTATTCATTATTATTACAAAAATAAAGTTACAAGGCTCTTCAGTTTGAAACAGTGGGGTGTATTAAACAATTTGTCACTTATTTCTAAATGATACTCACCTTTCTTCAAGAAATTGCACAAATAAGAAAAAAAAGTATTAAAATTAAAATTATTTGCATTGCCATTCATTTGAAATGATTTATGAATGAAGGGAGAAACATATTTGATATACAGTGCTCTTTAATTATTTGAAACTGTATAAGATACTCTTAATTCTATATAAATAAATTTACATCAGAGTAGCTCAAATTTTTACAATACACTTAGACCAAGATACATTTCATAAGTGCTTCAAAGTGTCATGCATAAACTGTCTATTGATCTAATCACAGGTCATTTTGATCAATTTCATTTGAGTTGACCGGCACTTTTTCTCCCCAGTTGTCAACATGCAGGCTCGTATCCTGCCACAGAGAGCATGGGCTGCAGCTATCCCAACCATCCTGTCTCACAAAGGTTTTGACACTCTACTCACCCCAACCCCTGAGTCACAGCAAGGTTCTGTCCAGCACACCCCGGCATCACCCTTGGAGAGGTTTTTTGCTTGCACCATCATGAAGAAACACACCAGTAGATTGGTGAACACAGAGCAGTCGGTAGGTCAACACTATGAAAGTTCTAAACAATGTTAGCACCACACATAGCTGGCACAACACATTCAGGGTACATTGATGTAGATTTGAAAGATATGGTCTGGCAAGAAGATATTTTTGAAAATAATTTCTTCATCTTTGGGCATTTAAAAATGAAGATTTTTTTTTTTCTAAGCTATCAAAGCAAATTGTGTATTTTTCTCTTTGGGCAGTTATATTTTGAATGCCATGGTCAATTAAAGATAAAAAATGTTTCATGAAACTATGCTTATATAACTGGAGCAGTCAGAAGTGAACCCAATGTAAATTGCAGTGCTGGTAATATTGATTTCAATGTCTTTAAAAAATTTAAAGCACACAAAATGCTTCTCTTTTACTAAGCTTTAAATTTTCTTCATTTCAAATAATTAACCCTTTCAGTTGCTTTAAGGCTTTCCAGCCCTTACTCCTTAGTCTCATTACAGTCAAATTTCCCCCGTAACAACACGTCATTTTCAACATACTTTAGTGAAGGTAACTCTTCTTAACAAAGAGCCTAGTTATAAACAGGAAGTGTCAAGCTCTTCTTTTGTCGCAGTTTGGTGGCTGTGCGCTTGATTTTACACTTCTTTTGATTTTTAAAAAAATGTGCTGTGTTGACAGTAGATGTAAGCTTAATTGCAATAGCCCTTTTAGATCCCTTTAAAAGAAGATGAAGATTAAATTGATAGATATGACGGGTCTATACAATTGTGTTGTTTAAGAAAAATTAGGTGTTACTGGTCCTAATGTAGACTTATTTTAAATAAAATTTCATCTTTTCTATACAATTATCTGTATTTTTTTTTTATGGTTGGATTCAAGATTGATTTGTAATAAACTTCTGATAAAAATGTAGTTATTTCCCTTTGCCAGATAATTTCTTAACTGGCGCTATGATACTGAGAGGGTTCATTTAATCTTTATTTAAACATCTTTTTATAACCAAAATATCTGAAATATTTTAAAATGTAAATGGATGTTTTAGGAGGTAAAGTCGTGTGGTGTCAGCCCACAGTGGCAAGTGTCATGGCATATGTTATTTTGTTGTAACACCCATATGAACTCAACAGATGCAGATGATACCCAGCAATGAGCCTGGTGTCATATGTTTTAAAGTGGACACTCTGCAGTACAAATTATCTCTCAACAGTACAACCTGCCAGTCTTTACACATGAAAATTACTCCTACACCAGGTGAACTTTAAAAAAAAACATATTTCAATCCAAAAAGATTGCTCGATGATTAAGATTGTGTCCTGAAAAAAAGATTTTAAAATTCCTCTCTTGATGTGGACAAATATTAAAATCTATTTTTTTTTTTAATGTTTGTCCATGTTTAATTTTTTATAAAATCAAGAAATACAATTTTGCTGAATAACTTTTGAATTAAATTGAATGCATACCTAATGAACTTTTTATAATGTTGATTTTAATCTTAGGTCTTGTTTTTTAAAGTAATGGCAACTGAATTTAGAAGCGAAACTAAACTTGATTCCATTGTTACACCTTAATTTTTTTTCAATAGCCTTCGCATGATTCTTGGAATTATTTCAAACTATTATTACCTTCTGTCACGATCTCCATTAATTAATAAAACTATTTGCTTATTTTAAAAAAATATCTTTTAAACATTAGCAATATTTTACCTTGACTGTATCGACCTTCCATGTAGCAATGAGAGCGCTGCTCTGTGTTTGATAGTTAGCATCGTGACTCACAGTAGCATTACAAATACTTAATTCAACACTATAAACTTTCCTGTTAATGGCAGAACACCAAGATAAATGGACCACTGAAGAGCTCCAGGTGCTGGAAAAGTTTTTTGATCTGAAAGTTTTCTGTCCCCCGTATCGTCTGAACGCCCTGACAGCTGTAGGAAGGATAATCTCTGCCCCATACAGGATTCTCAAGGACTGCATACAGATCATGAAATTAGAACTGGTAGGAAACAAAGCTCAGACTTATGAAATAGATTGGCAAAATACTGGCCTGAAGAAAAATATTTGTAGTCATAAAGTTGACTTATGAAACCAAATAATATTATGACATCATGGGTCACAAAAGACAGAGAATTTTCCTAACGTGTTTAATTTTTACAACTGCTTTTCAGCTTGCTGGAATAATTTAAAATAATTGAAGGAATTAATGCAGATACTTTTAATGTTCAAGATAATTAATGTTGCGTATCAGCAAGAATAGAAACCCCAGGGCACGGTCCAACCCTCAAAAATTTTGAAATTTTGCTACTGCTAGGTACTGACAAATGTTTAGGATAAAAACATTGCACGAGACTTTGACCATTATGATTCACTTATTATTCCACGTCTTCATATAATTACAATCGTGCATCTTAAGTAGTGCCTCACCTGATTTCAATTTTATAAAAACTCCAAATTTTAAGCTATAAATAATTATATTGTTACATCAGACAGTATAAACAATGCTGCTGGGTAGCCGTCCATGGCTTGAAATGTAAATGGTTCTTGAATGTGTGTAGTGAATATACATTTGTTTAGTTTTACTTTGTTAATGTATGTTTATTTTTAAGTTCATGATTATGTTTGTTAAATTGTGTGTACAGCGTGGTGAGCCCAGCCCAAGACTGGGGTACCGCGCTATATAAAACTACTAATAATAATACAATAATAATAATATGGCTTTGGAAATAAAGGCGATCTTAAAGCTTTAATAAAAAGTGTTTTAAAAATTGGACTTGTCTCTCTTGAACTTTTGCACTAAGGCCACTTTTTTTCTCATTTCATGGACGTAAAACAATTTTCTCTCTAGAACATTTACACTAAGGCCATTTCCCATTCTCAAAAAGACTGTCCGACCCCTTAAACTTGTTCATTGTGATGAGCTGTTCTTTGTTGTGATGTCAATGAAAACATTTTCCAACATTACATTTGACTGTGTAAGTGTTACTATCTAATCTCTCCTCTAGATGCCTGACCGTTCAATGAAGTGGACCGTCCAATGGTGTTTGACCATTCCGCCATCCCTGCACTTTATTTCTCCTGTTGGTGTTCCTGCTTTTGTAGTCAGGGCTAAAATGATTTTCATGGTAACTAAGAGAAACAAAATATTTAGGATAAGTTTATGGTGCTTCACTATAATATTTATATTATTAGTCAGTCGTGTTTTAGAATGACTTTTTTAACTTGTTTGAATCTGAAAATCTTTTTGTTTTTAATCTTGGTCAGAGCCTTTTTATAAATTGTGCCCCTTTAAAATGCAAGCTAAGAATTCAGAAAACCCTATAAATAAAAAAATTAGAAATTAAATGAAAATGTAAAATAAAAGAAGTAAATAGTTGTTTTTTAAAAATTTAAAGCTCCTTTAATTTGAGAAAATAATTATTTTTCCTTTTTAAAAAAAATTCAAATTTCCGTCCAATGTAAATTTTTGTGGAATGCAATTTTTGTTGTACTTTTAAGCAAAATTTTATTTTTAAAAGTTGGGAAATTGTAACTTCCCTGTGGCAGATTTAATTTGATGTTAAACTTGACTTCGATTACAGCTACAGTTGACTCGTATTGGACTGAATGTTGGACCAGGTGAGCAGTCAATTGTAGTGCCCCTTCTCTATGAGATGAACACCAACAAACTGACCAGAGTGGAAGGAAAGCTGCCCCAGTTGAACAACACCCCATCTTTACAGGCTGTCAGCACCATGTTGAATAGGTTTGCTGACCATTACCAGCAACAGAACCACAACAATGAGTGTGCTATACTTCCTGCAGTCAAAGAACTGCTGAGTAATTTAGTGGTTCCAGTTTAACAAGTTTTTAAACCATGTTTTTTTTTTGTTCACTTCAGTGGAGGTCATGTTGATGTCTAAAACTAAAAGGGTTTATAAAACTGAATTCTTGAAGTTAACAAGTTTAAGCAGGAAAAGCAATGCAACATTTTTAACTTTGATAAGAAATTAGAAGTATTACTGAATATCATGAAAGATAATTGCTCAGCAAATAGCTTTAGATTACTTCAATATATCATGTTATTCCAAATCTTCTCTAGTAGTAGTATTCAAAAGCCATTGCTTTTAAATATTTTTATTTGTCATTGACTAAATAATGCTATTTCCTGATATATAATTTATTATCCTTTGTGCTTAAATCACTTATTACCTAACAGATGAACTTTATCACACACTCTATGTATGTTTCACACACACAAATCAAAGAGTTATGCTACATTGTGCTGTACAAAAAATTATTTAACTATTAAAATTTCTTAAGTTTTGTGTAATTAATGCTATGTCTTAAAGTTATTTTATGTTTGTATTTAGGTACCAGTAGCTATGTTTTAAAAGATTGTTTAGAATGGCATCTGAACATTTTTGTATACCAAACAAGACAAGTTTGATTTAACAATTAATAAATTTAAAAAATAGACCTGATTTTATTTTATTTTTATTTATTACAGAAAATTAGAAAATCAATAGCACAGCCATGAACAATATATAATTTATTATTGAAACTTTACAAGCTACAAGTCTAAACTCAAGCTCTGTACACTGATATATTCTTCTGCCCTGGTGCTTCATTAAAAATTTTTTTTTAAAACTGTTCTTTGCTGTTTTATAGAGCACCACAGCACTTTTTTCAAAATTCACAAAATCATGTTTTAACACTGGCTCAAGAAACTAAAGTGAAATCCCTAGCATAAAATTTGAGGTCTGCTGTTTCAGGGGAGTTCAAGGATCAGAGACATGAAATGTTGCTGTAGCAAATAATGTTACGAAATGGGGCATGAACTTAATTCTCCCAACTCCTTGTAAATGAGACACTACTGGCGTGCACTTGATTGTCATATACAATAATGAACCAATAGAATTTAAAATGTGGAAAAATTCCAACCCAATGTTCCTAGCGCCTCATGTTTATTATGTTTATTATAGAATTATTTGCAACAGTACAGTTTTATTTTTTTAAAAAATTCATCAGTGTATTTCAACATCTAAAATGTGACACACAAAATAAATTCTTGCCAAGATGTCTCAACTTTTATCTAACAACATTGAAAAGCAATAGTTTTTAATTTTTGTTTTATATTAATATATCAAATTTAATCACCACATAGCCTTATCACAAATTAAAACGTACATAATTTCATTATAAAAATTATGTTTTTATCACTTATAGTTCAATTCAGATATTTTTCAAAACAAAGCAAACAAGTTTTTATGCAAATTGCTTAATTCATAAAGCACATTATATCATGAAGCCTTTTAATTTTGAGGCATTGATTAATTTGAAAAACAATCCCTACAATAAAAAATATAAGCAAAGAAGAAATTAATTATTGAAAATATTTGGTTAAAAATAATTTCCTATTACTGGTACCAAATCAACCCCCAACAGAAATATCTGGTATTGAAATGATAATAGATTTTAACTTGGTCTTTATTGCATGTTATTTATTAAGAAAATAATTGTGCTGTAGAATTTGAGCAAGAGCAACATGAAAAATAATTTTACAAAGCTTGAGAGACTTAGTGAAAATTTTACTAATGTGAAACTTTGGGTATATACGTGCGCTATCTATAAAAAATATAACCAAAAATTTCTCAGTTATCTTATTTCAAAATATTTAATTAAATGTTGGAATAGAAAAGATAATTTTAAAAAAAAATCTTTCTCCACAGCATAAAATAATTACCATGTACTAGTGACTTACAACTTTTTAAACAAAAATTTTTTTTCTATTTAACCTTGAACTTGAAGATAAAAATAGTTTAAATGTTTTCAGAAATTCAATGATTCCTTCAACCCACAATTTCAATAGGTACTTTGTAAGTGAATAAGGCTTTTATAAACAGATCACAACCCTAAATCAGGCACTTTTTGAAAGTGTCATGTTAAATTAAACAGAAATCTTCAAATCAGTTCAACACTTTTGATGCACATTGATCTATGGTCAAAACAAATTTAACAAAATTGGATTTTATTCAATGTAAATGTATGCATAAAAAATTGTATAAATAATTTTAAAGCTACATTAATTCTTATCATCATCATGATAAAGAATCTACCACTAAGTATTAATTACAATGTTTTACACAATCATTTCAATCAAATAACAGAAATCTCTTGAAGGTTTGCTGGTAAAAAAAATCTTGTCACGAAGCCCATTTGGGGAAATAAATTAAATTATTTAACTACTTAATTAAAATGTCTGATATTAAAATGCAGTTAAAATTCTTTTTAAAGACCCAAATTGTAAAAAAAAAATTCTGGGGTTGATTCAATATGTTTATGGAAAAAATCTAAAAGATATTATTCTCTTGTTTAAAGAATAATGGAATTTAGACCAGTGGTTTCCAACCTCTATCTGTATGACCCCTGTGGAAAACCCTGTAAATTAAAACAAATAATTTTACCTTCCAACCCTAAAATGGGCCATGATTCAAAAGGTTGCATACCACTGATCTAGATATGCAAGAGAAATTGAAGAAAATGAAAGTCGTTACAAGTTATCATTGACCTGGAACAGGAAGTTATATTCATAGAGAATTTACAAATTTAGGAAGCTGATTTCTCACTTGATTCTAATAAATATAAATGATCAGTTTCAATAAATATAGAGAAATGATTCTAAAGGTTTTATTAATATAGCATTGGAAAGGCTAATCAAAGCTTCTAATAGTTGTATATTTATTAAAACATCTCCTTCAAATATTACATCTATCTTCTGGATCAGTGTGAACTAAAAAATAAAACATAGTTAAAAAATAAAAGTAGATTTTAACATCAGGTCTATGAGAATAAAAAAAACATATTCTTAGAATTAGCTTTGGAAATTAATCCTTATCAGTTAAATAAAGTTGTGATTAGATCATTTTAACATCAGGTCTATGAGATTAAACAACAGCTTCTTAGAATTAGCTGTAGGGATTAATCCTTATCGGTCAACTACAGATGTGATTAGACCTTTTTAACACTTACAATTTTTTACAAAAATTCTTTCGAATTACATTTCACAGGTTATGTCTGTTAAAACCATGGAAAATGAACTTTTAGCTTTATCTATTTTACTTGTTAAGCATATTAATTTTTATTCTGATTCCCCATTTTCAGATTTATGCCTGGGCTGGTATTTCAGATGATTTAGGAACAATTTTTAGAATGGCTTAAAATATAAAAAAAATGTCACATATGATTGCTGTAACTCACTAAACACTGAAATCTGATTTTTTTAAAATTTCTCCATGTCCGGTAAGTATTTTAAAATCACACAAGTGAAAAGTCAATATTCTGTCATTTATTTAACCAAATTTTTATGTCTATCATTGTTAAGATTTATTGTCTCCAGTAAAATTGAGAAAATTTTATTTACACCTTTGGGAGGGTTACAGCAGCTATATGACTGAATAAGGCATTCAATATTTAAAAATGCATCCAGCAGCATATTAAATTTTAATTTATCAACAATGCCCAGCTTTCTGCCCTTGAAGAGAAAGTGCTCTTCAGAGAAAAAAGATAGACTGATGATATTTCTTAAAACTAAATCTAATCTTATCTAAAATAGCATCTAACTTTTCTGCCTCCAAATATGACTAGTCGAATTGACAAATATTGATTGAGGCCAAGGGAATATTCAGAGCATTTACAAATGGTGTTGGACATGTATAAAATGTCATCAACCTAAATTATTTTCTAATTTTATTATAATTAGCAAAAATGAAATGGGAAACTATGATGATGATGACATGATTTTTTAAAATATAAAAATGTCATTAAAATCTATTGGTTGAGGTAATTAAAACACCCAGGGACTAAAATGTGTAAATACTGAGAGTAAATTATGTGAAAAACTGCACTATACAAGAAATAAATGGGTTGTGAATAAGGCAGATTACCAAGCATTGTTAAAAGAACTTAACTCTGAATTAAGAGCTGAGAAAACTAATATTTATCACATGTTTGAATTCTTCCAACAATAATTCCTTTACTGAATCAAGGCTTCAGATTTTAAGAGAACCGAGTTTATACTAAATTGGGTCTGCTGTAAAAGCCATTGTAAGTACCAGTAAATATTTTGACCCTTGAACTCTCTATTATTTACAATGTTCTAAATGTTAAAGAGCCATACCATTTCTGCAGAGAATATTAACAAAATCAATGTTATTACCTTATATTATCTTTGCCTCAGTAATAAATGAACCAATAAAATATTTTTATATCTCCACAAACTAACATAAAAATTACTTTAATTCCTCACAGCCTAACAGAACAGAGTAGTCTTTATATCCAGTGTAACATATTTCACTTCACTTCTGCGACTAATATCTCTTTATCATGAAAATATTAAGAAACAAAGTTTTAATTCCATCCTGAATGTTTGTTTAGGTGGATTACTGTCAGGAAACACAAAATCTTACCGACTTAACATGCATGACACTGACAAGGGAATATTGTTTCCAGTGGAAATGAGATGACCAAATCTTGACAGCTAATCAATAAAATGCATGTTAAAATATTAAAAGCACAAACACTTGAAATTTCAACAGCCCACATAAAGGTAAAGTAACCATTTAGGTGCTTAGACCTAATATAATAGCAATAATGCTGTACATAAGGTTCTAATATATATGTGTAATTAGGTTTTCTTATTGATATAATAAATATTATTTGAACCAACACAAAAAAAAAAAAAAAAAAAAAAAAAAAAAAAAAAAAAAAAAAAAAAAAAAAAAGAAAAGAAAAATAAGAAAGGGGGATGAGGGGGGATAGGGGGAGGTAGTTTGTAGGTGTTTAACCAAGCATAAAATTATGCACCTAAATTTGTGTACCACAGTTGCTGAAATTTGTATCTAAATAACAAAATATTAATGGCACTTTTCAACATAATTTCCTTATGTGACTGCGATATTTAAACTGCATATTTTTTTATATTAACTAAAAATCTATTGACCTGGAAGCAGGGCCGGGCCTTGGCCACTGCAACCTATGCGGCCGCAGTGGGCCCCGCACTTTTTTTTCAAATACAAAATCTTAATTTTCACTTATTATCCTTATCCCTACCCAGACTG